ATCATTCAGTGTTCCCATGTTCTGTTTGAACATCTGAATATAGCAGGTTGTTATTATCATCAATATGATATTGGCACCATATAATCAGCCAAAACAAGGCCAGAACTCTGGACAGACTCTGGAATGACCATCAATTGCTCATATGCAAGTATAGGCTGAAGCTGAAGAAAATTAAAACAAGTCCACAAGAGCCAAAATATGACCTTGAACATACCCCACCGGAATTTAGAATTTAGTTTAAGAGCAGATTTGATTAACTAAACACTAATGACCGAAGACCAGAAGAATTGTTAGATGACATCAAGAACATCATAAAGGAAGAAAGCAAAAAGTCATTAAGAAGACAAGAAAAAAGGAAAAGTCCAATATGGATGTCAGAAGAGACTCTGAAACTTGCTCACTGGCATAGAGATGCTAAAAAAAAATGGAAGATATGAAGAAGTAAAAGAGCTGAACAAGAAATTTCAAAAGGCAATTTGAGATCGCACTTCAGTGTAAAGAATACAAAAAACTTCACAATTGGACCAATAAGTAACATCATGATAAATGGAGTACAGATTGAAGTCTAAGACTTCATTTTGCTTGGATCCACCATCAACACTCACAGAAGAAGCAATCAAGAAAACAATAGACATTTTTCATTAAGCAAATCTGTTGCAAATGACCTCTTTAAAGTGTTCAAGAGCAGAGATGTCACTTTAAGGATTAAGTTGTGCTTGACCCAAGCCATAGTATTTTCAATTGTCTCATATGCATGTGAAAGTTGGACAATGAATAAGAAAGACCAGAAAAGAATCAATGCATTTGAATTATGATGTTGATGAAGAATATTGAAAGTCAGTTGAATTGACAGAAGAACAAACAAATCTCTGTTGGGAGAAATACAGCCAGATGGTGCTCCTTAGAAGCAGGGATGGTAAGACTTGGTCTATCATACTTTAGTCATGTTGTTAGGAGAAACCATTTCCTGGAGAAGGATATCATGCTTGGAAAGGGAGAGCCCCAACAAGATAGCTTGACACAGTGCCAGCAACAATGGGCTCAAACATAACAACACTTGTGAGGATTTCATAGGACCAGGCAGTGTTTTGTTCCACTATGCATGGGCTTGCTATGAGTCGAAACCAACTCAACAACACCCAACAACAAAAACAATACCTTTCAGTTATCAGTTGAGTTTTCCACCATAGCACCAAGAGGGCTCCTGCTGTCAAGTCTATTTCAACTCATAAGACCCTACAGAACAAAGTAAAACTGCTTCATAGGGTTCTCAAGACTTTACAAGAGAAATTAGCAGGAGCAGCTAACTCCACAGAGTTTTCGAGACTTAGCCGGAGCAGCTCAATACTTAACCCATTGCCCCACCAGTGCTCCTTCTTTAACTCCACACAGATGTTAAATCGAGTAGGATTTCCTAGGCTTTCCTATCTGAGAGCATATAGAGAAAGCTAAAGAACCCCCTTGACCAAGTCCTTTGTTCCATGGAGATTAGAGGGCTCCGTTACTGTTGCTCTGATCCAGCCCAGGGAGACTGGCTGGGGAACAATCAAATGAGCACTTCCTGAGAGCCCCCATGAAGGACATGCTGAGGTAGCCAGGCCACACTTCCATCACGCCATGAGACCCTAGATCAGGCCCAATCCTTGGAAAACCACAGACAAGTCTATTCGGCGCTGTTGCTAACACTTGTCTTTCTGGATAGCCCCACCATGGCTCTGCTTTTGAAACGGATTTATTTACAGCTGGGAATAGACAGCTGCCTAAGGTTATGCCCTTTGCCCGCTGCAACCCAGCCAAGTGGCACTGTTCCACTTGTTTGGGCAGAGTCTGGTTCTTGCCTAGCGGAGAGTATGCGGAAGCAGACACTGATGTTGCAAAGCTGGCTAACTTAGCCAAACCATGTAAGAAAATAGTGGAGTCTCTCCTCCAGACATTGAAAAGAATCTTTGATGCTCTCCTCACTGAAACACACACTCTCACACATGAAAGCAACCATGCAACTGTTTAAAGTTGGGCCTCAACTCATGGCAGCCTCATGTACAAATGAGCCCTATGGTTTTCATCAATGGAGTTTTAGAAGTAGAGCACCAGGTCTGTCTTCCCAGTCTGTCTTAATCTAGAAGCTCCACTAAAATTTGTTCATCATTGCAGCAGCCAAGCCTCTGCTGACAGATGGGTAGTGAATGCAGCGGAGACGCATTTGCCGGGATTTGGAACCCAGGATTCTGTGTGGAAGGTGAGAATTTGATCTCTGGACCAGCACTGCAGTCTTTTCTGTAGCTACCAAACCAAACTGGTTACCATCAAGATGATTCCAACTCCTAGAGACCTTCAGGACAAACTGCTATCGTTGTTAGGTGCTGTTGACCTGTCCACAACACAACAAAACACTGACCACCATGGGTGACCCTGCTGGTATTTGAAACACCAGTGACATTGCTTCACAACAACACACAAGCCACCACAGTATGAGAAACTGTCTGATGTGTGTGATAGAACAGAATAGAGCTTCCCCATTAGATTACCACGGGCTGCCAAAAGAACAAACAAATCAATAAATAAAGCCAGAGTGCTCCTTAGAGGTAAGGATGACCAGACTTCATCTCTCATACTTCGGACATAGTGTCAGGAGGGACCAGTCACTGGAGAAGGATATCATGTTTGGTAAGGTGGAGGGTCTTAGAAAAAGAGGAAGACCCCCAAAGTGATACATTAGCACAGTGGAGGCATCAATGGGCTCAAATGTGACAACAATTGTGAGGT